TAACCACTGACTTCCTCTCTTACTGTTGTCAAAGAGTATCTATTTCTCATAGCATGCAACGATTCGATGCAAAAATGGCTCTTTTTCTCAGTTTTTTACTCATACAGTAAGATTACTCGACATTGTGTCATTGTAATAATTTTCTTTAGGCTTATGAGTGACAATATATTGAAAGAAAAACTATTTGGAAAGAAAAAGAGTTAGGAATAAATCAAGATTTTCTTTATATACTAAGGTGATTACTTCGTTAGGCGACCGGACCAACAACCAATCAAAAAATGCGTTATTTCATGGGTGACAACCTGATAGATCTGCATTGAAAGTGAATATGATTTTACTCAGTTTTGCTTGTCTGATATTACAGACAATCCAAGAAAAACATCTCTGGTTTCCAGCGGTAAGAAACTGTGGTCGACAACTCTGCTGTCTACATTGGGCTGTCAGGCCTCCCATAAGTTATTCCCAGTACACACGTGATGCCGTAGATTGAAAGATCTCACCTTGTTGTCAGCAGCTGAGCCGATGTTCTCGCTGACTCAAAAGGCGAAAAAGTTCAGCTGATATCGGTCTGGATAATTCAATGCCGTCAATGTATGGTGGCGCCACCTACCATTACATTTACATACATCTCTCTTATGACTTTTGGCACGTCAGGGTAATGTTAAAAAGTGCTATTATCATTTCAAGCGTTGATCGGACTACTGAACTCATCTTTTGCGTTGATTCGGCCGTTACCCCAGTGTTTAGGTTGATCGATTCTACAGACTTCCTCCGGTGCACGACCCATAAAGAAGAATGTATCTCTTTTCCCTGAAGTAACTAGACCCTACTCTTTCGTTAGGGATTCTGAATTTGAAAAAGCTTGTAGAATAGATTGCTTGACAGTACAAAGAAATAGTTCAAATTATACTTAGAAGAATTTTGACATATCTCTGCCGAAAAGTGTCGCTTATAGCAAGTGATCTTAGAGCTACTTTCACTCGTACCCCAACGGCATGAATTTAAGCGTGCTACTAGTTTGGAATCTTGGTCCCACATTTTCACTGTTAAAACATTTAAATGAAACAGCATCTTCTACTCCAACAGCTTCATCTCTCGCACTTCCCGATAGTAGAACTTCCTTCCTCTTACTTGCTTCCCTGATAGCTATAATCTTCAAATATTCAAATGTAAAGTCAATCGACATCTTCTGATGCATTGATCTTGATCCCTGTCCTTCTATATATCCTTTCCTCAAACACCCCCTCTTTACTCTAGCTTTCACTCTCTGTCTACACACATCTTGCGGCCTCAGCCGAGATTGAACTCACCAATAGTGTAGTTCATAATCTTGTCAAATAGCTGAATTCTTGATGCTTCGCTAGGGCTATCAATGGTGTTTTTATCGTGACACCATCACTAAATGGATTGCCAACCAAGGCTCAGAGAGACTCCATTCACCCTCCTCTAAGAGCAGGTTTGAATTCAGAGTTTTCCTTCTCCTAGACCAGTTGCCATCCAAGGCTATAGAACCCAGTCTGTCCTGCTATTAACCCATAGCTGGAGGGAGAAGAAAGAGGATTCACACCTTTCTCAAGGGTGTTAGCACGTAAGTGAATGTAATGGATTCGACTGGAATTCGAACTCGGCTCTCCGATTCCTCAATCCAAGCCGCTATCCATTTGGTTCTCTGTAACCCCTTGTGTGCTAGTAGCACTACAAACTTACTTGGGTTGAAATGCTTAAAAAAAAAGATATATTTGTATTTTTGTACACATTTTTAGTAAAATTTTCCAGAATACAAATTGGTATAAGAATAACAATTGGAAAAAAAATCTTAGTTTTTGCCGACGCGTTTCGTCATCCGACTTTATCAAGGTAAACAATGAAAGCGAAATATTTTTGTTGTCATTTTGTTGTCATTTTTGAAGCCTTCACAGTTAAATTTCTATTTCCAACACGAAATCACTCTATACAGAGCTTGATAAGACTGACGAATTATATTTTCGTCTGCCGAAATAAGCTTATTCCCCATATGAGGTGATTTTATTGAGTATCGATTTTTGCTCTGTAATAATAAATACATTGAGATGTTTTCGTGGATCAGATTTAATATTTTATATTACTAGGATCCACTTGGATTATATACCAACGGATTTACTTTTACTATACACACACACACACACACATATATATATATATATATATATATATATATATATATATATATATATATATATGTATGTATAACGATCATAATTACTAGCACCATTAGAGTTTTTATGTCAACATTATCTTACACATTCCAAACAAGTAGAAAACACCAAAAATTTTTTCTGCATACACACACTCACACACGCACGCACACATACAGAGAGAGATAGAGAGAGAGAGAAAGAGAGAGAGAGAGAAAGAGAGAGAGAGAGAAAGAGAGAGATTTAATCCTAACATATTGGACCTTTTGGGATTTATACTAAGTCCAATAAAATTGAATCTATTAAACTTGATACTTCGTTGTTATGAACTACATACTACTTTGTTGCCATGGACTACTTAACACCTTGCTGTCATGATCTACTTAACACATTCCTGTAAGTGGTCAGGTTCACTGAACTATGACACTACTAACATTCGACAACAAAATCTTATAATCATCAATTTTTGGCGCAAAAATTACTATGTCTGAATGCGTGTCCATAATCAACCAATCATTGCATTCTCAACCATTAGCAATCGCAGCCACTTTTTTTTTTCAGCAGAAAACGGAAAGAATTCTCCAACTTCACTCAGATGCAAAACTGAACGTGGTATAGCCACACACACATATATATATATATATATATATATATATATATATATATATATATATATATATATATATATATATATATATATATATATATATATATAGTTGCATGATTTTCAAGAGTTAAATTGAGATAGAGAGATGTGGCTAGGCCACGTCCAGTTTAGGAGGCACGGTGGAGTAATGGATAGCGGCTTGGATTATGGAATCGGAGAGCCGAGTTCGAACTTCAGTCGAATCCATTACATTCACTTACGTGCTAATACTCTTGGGAAAGATGTGAATCCCCTTCTTGCTATGGGTAAATAGACTGGGTTCTCTCGGCTTGGATGGCAACTGGTCTAGGAGAAGGACAACTCTGAATTAAAAATCTTTGGGGACCCAGTGTCACGTAGTGCACCAAGTCTGTATGTATAAGTGTGGATGGTTCTGCACGAAACTTTCACCACTATAATCAAATCAAGTTTCCTAGGAGTTGATCTGCTTGACCCTCAAACGTCGAATTCGACGGGAGAGTCGAGTATACATATATATATATATATATGTCTACTTTTATTCATATACATATATATACGTACATACACAAGAGAAAAACTATACTTAGCCAAAACGTTTCGTCCTCTGAGGGAGGCAATATACCAGAGGACGAAACGCGTTGGCGAGGTATAGATTTCCCTCTTGTCTCTTTTTAGTCATTTTGACTTTTCTACACTCCATCTGAGAATATTTCCACACTCACACACACACGCAAACACATGCTATTATTATTATTATTTCAAAGATTATTTTAGTGGATGCTCGTATTTAAATAGGCGTCTCACTTTTATTTTACTTTAAACAGTATATATTACGCCTATCGGTCTTTTCATTCAAGAAATGCCTGTATGTATGTATGTGAGTATGTATGTACACTACCATAAAATAGTAGTATCGAAAAACAACAACAATTAAAAAATACACCTAAACAGATTTATCCGTATTCTCTCATCAGAGAAAAGATCGAGGCCAAAAAATGTGTACAGTAACTAAAAAATATGACAACCAAGAAAAATGTCATGCAAAAAATACAACATTTAATGGTTAAGTACCTTTAAGCCCACCAAAGAGATGGCTGGTAGGACTTAATGTACACTGTTTCCACTATTTGTGTATAAGTCCTGCTCGGCACTGAAAACACGTTTAGGCTATACTTGATTTTGGTTATATTATGAAAATCTTTGCTCTTCTCTTATCAAAACAGATATGCTTCGCTCATAATAGACGAAACTTGCTAGATAAGTGAAAAAGCACCTAGTTATTTCATTTGTTTGAAGAAACAATGGACATTTTTGCACAAGCCTAATATTTTTGCATAATTTTTTGTTTATTTAATTTAATTAATTTTATTTTTTATTTAGTTTATTTAATTTATTAATTTAATTTTTTGTTTATTTAATTCGTTGTATAATTTAATTATTGACGGCACTGCGCTTTCTGAAACTCTAACAATAACAATAAAAAGCAAAGACATTTTTTATCATCTCACCCAGGCAAAGCAATAAAGCCACTAAGATGCAAAGGGGTTACTGAGTGCTTCTTTATTAACGAAGAGAATAATAAAAGTACAGGAATTAAGAAGACAGATTACTGTTGATATTGCATTTAAATATTTGAAGTTAACTGGAAAGCGAGAAGCCGAAATAGAGTTCCACACGCGAGAAGTGTTAGAGAAGAAACTGTCAGCATAGAAATTGCGGTTATATCTAGCCATTTTTAACTATAAAATGATGAGACTTTGCAAATCTAGTACTGCGCTTAAATTGATAAAATTTAGGCACCAAAGAGGAAAGGCCATCAGAACGATCAAAATGAAAGGCACAGGGAAGCTACGTTACGGCGGTGGGAAAGGGACTGAAGTCGAGATGCCAGGTAACCAATAACATTGCAGATTCTTCTTTGAATATAATGAAGAACCTCTAAATATATAGCACAAGTCCCAGAGCAGAAGTGACAGCAATCATCAATGCATGGAGGAATGTTAGACTTATAAATACGAGAAAATTATCTATAACGAGTTTGCCGTTTCAATAAGCATTAAGGATAATGGAATGGTAAAACCAATACATGAGCAAATTCCACACACCGCCACATTTGAATACATATTCACACAAATATATTGAATTGTTCGTGACTCATTCCCTATATACTAAATTATTCGTTACTCACTCTCTATATGATGAATTGTTCGTTACTCACTCTCTATATAATGAATTGTTCGTTACTCACTCTATATACGGAATTGTTCGTTACTCACTCTCTATATGATGAATTGTTCATTAATTGTTCTCTATATAATGAATTGTTCGTTACTCACTCTCTATATACGGAATTGTTCGTTACTCACTCTCTATATGATGAATTGTTCATTAATTGTTCTCTATATAATGAATTGTTCGTTACTCACTCCCTATATACGGAATTCTTCGTTACTCACTCTCTATATGATGAATTGTTCATTAATTGTTCTCTATATAATGAATTGTTCGTTACTCACTCTCTATATACGGAATTCTTCGTTACTGACTCTCTATATGCTGAACTGTTCGTTACTCGTTCTCTATATACTGAATTGTTCGTTACTCACTCTCTATATGATGAATTGTTCGTTACTCACTCTCTATATGCTGAATTGTTCGTAACTCGTTCTCTATATACTGAATTGTTCGTTACTCACTCTCTATATACGGAATTGTTCGTTACTCACTCTCTATATGATGAATTGTTCGTTACTCACTCTCTATATACTGAATTATTCGTTACTCACTCTATATATGATGAATTGTTCGTTACTCGTTCTCTATCTACTGAATTGTTCCTTACTCACTCTATATATGATGAATTGTTCGTTACTCGTTCTCTATATACTGAATTGTTCGTTACTCACTCTATATATGATGAAGTGTTCGTTACTCGTTCTCTATATACTGAATTGTTCGTTACTCATTTTCTATATACTAAATTGTTCGGTAGGCATTCTATATATAATGAATTGTCTGTTACTAGTTCAATCTATACCGAATTCTGCGTTATTTATTCTCGATATTGTTTGTTACTCGTTCTCTATATGTGGAATTATTTGCTACTCATTCTCAAGAATGTATTTGTCGCGTTAGACACGATTACATTTTTTTGTGCTTTTACACATATATACATAAATATTATACGGGCGAGTGGTCAGGGGTTAGAACGTGTGATTTACGATTATGAGACCCTTTTCGAATCTCACCATAGCCAGTTTGTCAGAGAAGTGGCTTTTTGTCATTATCGGTCTGAGGAGGAGTTGATCCCCGCATAGGAAGTGCCTGTAAAGCACACCACAGGTTGACCCAAGCCTCTTGAATTAAATTGGGTAGAGGGATTTGATCGTCGATGGTTGCACTTACAAAAATTCACAAGTCATTGTGACCGAGCTTTTGTCGTACTGGCGTTGTTCAAACTGCTGATCATGACAGATTATGCGTTCTCTCCCAGAAACTTTAACGAATGTCCGCTCATTATAGATTCAGTATAAATTACAGGTGCGATTTGTGGATATTATACACCCACAAATCTTCCTGCGAAGGCGTCTGAAACAAGGATTGCCTAGCCGTCCTAGCAAAGGGAATTACACGGATACGGCTGACCAGTTATTATACAATATGACATAAATATTAACATCCGACATTTACTTGATCTTTTTGATAATTTATTTCTTTTACTGATCCGTTATCTAGGAAGATATCGTTTTCTTTATGTGCCGTGTCCCTTCTGGACGTAGGTGATTATGGCTCTTTAAAATATCCTGTACTTCGTAGCACTTAATATATTTTCTTTTTGTTATTTCTCTTAAACCTTGTTGTCATCCATACTTACTAAGTATATTTTGCGTTGTTTTCCTCCTTTTCTTTTACCTTCAATCTGTTCTGTATCAGTTTTTCCAAGTCCTCTTTCCCCATTATGTGCCCTAGAAATTTCTACTCTTTCTTCTTGGTGTTAATTATAAGTTTCTTCGTATCTTTAGAAACAAAGAATGCTGAACTTACAACATCACTCTCTCTATATGCAATGAATGCTGGACAATTAACATACAGCTGAAGAGGAGACTTGAAGCCATAAAGAATGCCGAGAATACCATGGTCAGAACATAAGAGAAAATTTGAAATTTTAAGAAAAATGGAAAGTAAAAGAAAACTTGTACTTAGAATCAGAAAAAAAAGACATTTAAATGCTGGGAATTTTAAATTAAATTCCCAGCATCCCTAGTTCGTGCGCATGTATAGTCGCATCAACGTAACAAATTTATTCCGATGAAGTTCTAAAGGACGGAACGCATCACACAAAAACCTTTTTTCACTGTGTCATATATATATATATATATATATATATATATATATATAGAGAGAGAGAGAGAGAGAGAGAGAGTCTTAAAATAATTGTCGGACTTTGTCCCTTTCATAATGTGTGACGTCATTTGCTTACATTTGTTACGCCATGAGCGGATATGAATGTACGTGAGAGAATCATGGAAGATTAAACTTTAAAGACAGTAAAATCGACCTTGCTAACCGAACGCTCCTCTGTGGCCGAAATGGTTAAAGGCACGTCAGGCTATATGACGGTTCCGTATAGGATACAGGTTCGATTCCTGTCGGAGGACGAAAATTTTCAATGAAAATTTCTCGGACATTCAGGCCGGTAAATGTTGTTTAATACTGTTTATTATAAAACAGAGCATTTACTTAAATATTTGTATCTATAAAAACAATGTATAAACATAAAAATGTCTTAAAATAATTGTCGGATTTTGTCCATTTCATTATATATATATATTTATATATATATATATAGTTTCTGAGCATAAAACCCGGGTTCGAATCCCATCATGTTCGATTTGTCAGGAAGGAGACTTCCTGATGTTATTAGTCTGGAATAAGGCCCGATCCCAGTGTGCGACACTTATGGAAAAGTGCCTGAAAAACATACCACGTGTTGATCCAAGTCTCGTGAGTGAAATTGGTTAGACGAAACTCTTGAGAGCCGTCGATATGTGTGCTAGCACGAAGTCACAAGTCATCGTGGCCGAGGGTTTGAGTGTGCTGATGTTGTTCAGATTATTGATCATTCTAGGTAACACGCTCTCTCCCAGAAATTGTAACTAAGGTCTGCTCAGCATAGTTGCAGTATAGACCACAGGTGAGCTCTGTGGGTGTTGAACAAACACAAATGTGCCTAAGCGAGCGTCTGCAATAGGGATTGGCTAGCCGCCCTAGTAGACAGGTATCCTTGAATACGAGTGGCCAGCTATTATATATATATATATATATATATATATATATATATATATATATATATATATATAATGGAATATACATACACCTGAGTTCCCCCTCACTGGAATATGATTGGCTGGTGTCCGTCATAAATACAGACGGACAGGTAGGTACGACAGAGTTTAAGTCTATGACGACGCTCATTAGACTACGCCATTAGCTATTCTATTGGTCTACACCTATTACCTGTGACTTTGACGAGTACTAGTCGATTACTGCTACCGTGTACGACTTGGTTACACTAGTCAAACCCACTTAGCTACTTCGATCAAATATATCCCTTTCTGGGACATATCAATACATATATATATATAATAGATGGACACTCGTGTGTGCGTGTGTGTGTGTCTATATATATATATATATATATATATATATATATATATATTATAATTTTATCACATAGACAAAACTATTTTACTCACTAAAAACATGCAACTTTGTTTCAGTGCATTTCAACTGCACTTCGACGGGTGAGATTCTCGAAGTGCTGTTGAAATGCATTGAAACCAAGTTGCATCATTATAGTGAATAAAATGGTTTTGTGTGTATGATAAAATTATAATTAATAAATAATTATGGTTCTACTATCGGTATCGACCCCGCTTTTGGATTAATGCTGTGAACGTTGGAATTTATATGTTACTTTCGTTTCCCATCGCATCGGATATATATATATATATATATATATATATATATATAATTATTTATTTAAAAATGATTCCAACTCGCGACATAAGAGGTCTCATGTTTCAAAACAAGAGCCGAAAACTTCAATATAATTATTTGAATTAAATTGAGTTAAAGTAAGCTCTGTTCCATCTTCAAGCGAAATTTTTTTGGGAATAACGTATTTCTGAAATTTACGTGTTTTAATAATTGAAATCAAAAATCAAAATTTCCATGGTAACAGGTAGGGCGAATTGTTTAAATTGGGTAGGCGTGTGTTGGGAGTTAATAATAAGTATCAGTATAGAGTTACTTTCATAGATGTCAAGTCAGGGAAAGGTGGGGGTGTCTAAATTTGAAACGGAACATGTATTCACTCTAGTCTGGTATGCGTGTCTATGGAGATTTTATTTTTTTTATTTATTTTTTTTTCATATATATATATATATATATATATATATATATACGAACAAACTTATTCATCCTTTATTCTGAGCTCCTATATCATGACCCTATGCTACAACCGCCTTAATCAATATTTATATTTCTTTCTTTTTAAATTATTCCCTCCTTCTTTCCTTTTTTCTCTTTCCCTCTCTACCTCCCTTAATTCTTATTTCTTTAACTTTTCTTTTCACCTTTCAATCTTCTTTATTTTTCCAGTTTTTCAAATCCAACTTTTTTCGTTCTGTTATTTTTTTATTTTTTATTTTTTTTATTTTTTATTTTCTCCTATTTCCTTAACACCCAGAAATATGGCGTCGATGACAAACCGTTTGTGAAAAAGCACCCTTTTTTCTTTATTGGCTTTTCAGACGACCCAAAATAATTTTATTAGAAATCGAATCAGTTGCTTCTGCGCCATCACAATGGCGCTGTTGCAGCTAACTGAAGGCGGCACATTGTATTTACTTTCTTCAGTTAACAAAGGGAATCTTATTTCATCACGATCTGCACTCAAACAGCTCACTCCATTAAAAATGAATAAAAATAAAAAAGCGAAACACTGTCTGAGATTAAGTAATTTCATTATACGACGGATTATTCGGACTAGATTTCTCATCTTGTTGTTTTAACAACAAAGATGAGAACACGAAAGATCTATTGTTCATGACAATGGAATATGTTTTTTTGGCCGTCCTTGTCTGCTTTGATGTTCTGAAAGGTATTGTCATTATTACCCGAATTAGAAGATCGGGTGTTCTCGTGATGTTTCAGGATAACTTTAAAAGACCATCGTCAGTAAAATTAACTCTGCTGACAATGATAGCTTTTACTGGATTTCACACTTTCATTTATTTAAATCACGCAAAAACCTTATCAGATACAACGTCAAATATTTGATTAAAATTCTATCAGCTTATTTTTATTCGATCTCAGTCGAGATCATAAAATGAACTGTTAACTCTTTTCAATAGCTTTATAATGTGCGCCTCGCCTCGCCAGGGCTGTATACTGGTTTTATAGTCAGAGTTGCTTTTCCCCTAGGCTGAGTTCCCATTTATGGCTAGCGAGTCCAGTAAACCCTGCTATTTTACCTTAATACGGCTTAAATTTAGCTATGAACCTGTGTGCTGCAGACCGCAAAATGCATGCCTGGGGCGTCTATAATGTAACGTATGCAATCGCGCATGCGTGATTTTCACTCTGAAAGAAAAAAAAAGTCGACATAAGCTTTTAATAGATTTAAAACTCCTACCAACTTCTATTTGCTTTGCACAGATGAGTACAATAATCCTCCGCTATCCGCGGGGAAAATGTTCTGACACACCTAGTCATTACTTAAAACCGCGGATAATGCAAAACATTATATATACTATTTTGCTTACCGACCAACGTCGTGTTCGACTCACCTCTGCAACATTAGTGCGTGTCTTTATGAACAGGAATCTCACCAGTACGACAAAAGTCTTCCCCTCCCTCGCTTGCTGTCACTATCTCCTGAGAGTGTTAAATTCTCCAAACCCGTTTTTCTCATTATGTACCTCAGAAATTTCAGCTGTTTCTTGCTAATTGTATCAATTTCCCTTAAAACTTCCTTATTGCTCACATTCTCTATCCATGGTATTTTCACTTTTCATCGGTAAAACCGCATCTTCGTCGCTTCAATATTTTTGCTAAGATCTTACTAAATTTGAAATATTAAGAAGTGGACACTTTTATTTGCTATCAAAATATTACTTACTTACAGTTATGTTTTTCGGAGATACTTTCAAAGATGCTTCTTTGTATATAAATCCTCATTTAAATCAGTTTCGGAGTAGAACTATATCACTCCCCCTTTAAGTCTCTACTACACCAATGACGAGATAGTCCAGTGTTCAATGCCATACAGAAGATTATATAAAACGTAACAATCCAGTATTGTTTTCTTTGCCTGTAACAATATTTTCCTATGTCTTAATACATTGCTTGGTTTCTGGAAGACATTTTTATGCTTCTTTGGATTTCCGTGTCACATTTTCTGTTGGCTGTCACTGCACTAACCTGATGCAACGATAAAAAATACTGACATTTTTTTTTTAAGTCAAGAGCAGTAAAAAGCACGTAAAGTAGTTGGTACGAAAACAGAAAATAAAAGAAAAAAATCCCAGAAAATAAAATAAAAAAAAGAAAGAGTAAAAAAGAGAAAAAAATTGGTTATCGCATCTCACTCGTCCGAGCTGGATCGCAGCAAATAAATAAACAACGCTTTAAAAAGATCTCAATCATATAATGAAACGAGTATATTATTCAAAAACAGATTCCATTGATTTCACACAATCAATCCATATATACTATGTTGGCCAGAAAATACTGACTTACTTAGGAAGAGGAAAGAAAACAACAAATCTTGATCTCTGTTTGGTGGAATTTCCAATGAGTACTGTATTTCCAGCTTGTTCTACATGGTCGCCCCATCGATGTTAAACTGTATAGACAGCAGCTAGACTGCGTGTACGACAAACTAAAGAAGGAGTATCCTGCTTTGGTTAATCATGGTCGGGCTTTGTTACAGTAAGACAATCCGAGGCCACACACTGCCAAGTTGACTAAGGAGAAATTCAAACAGATGAACGGTGTTGAGCTTCTTCACCGTTCACAGAGAAGATACAATGAGTCACGCACCTAAAGGTTATAATCAGTAATGTTGATGGAAGGCAAGACGTGGTCTCTGAGATGATTAATGGAGAAAAGTTTAGTTTTGGAAGTGTTAAAAATAACAAACCTTCTTTTGTCCCAGTTAAGTTCGAACTTGACGTCGTTTTGGACACCGACTGCCATTTTGACCTTGTCGGACTGACAAGCTTTACTATCGAGGCAGGAGTAAATTGGTGAGTCATTAGCGTAGATACCAGTTTTAGATCTGATGTAATCAGGAAGGTCATGAAATTTTAAAACAAAAACAGTGCAGGGCCAATGATGGAACCCTGGGAGATATCTGTGTTAGTACAGAAGGAACTACTTTTTTTCTTACTTCTACTATCTATTACTCGTTAAGATGTTGATTAACTTAATTTTGTCGATTTTTTTTTTACAGCGAGGTTCAGCCTTTACAAGAACCACTTGAGGTAGAGGGTTACGTTTGGAGGCCATTTGTGTGTATAAGAATGGAAGATAACAATTTACCCTAACCATGAAAAGCTTAAGATTGTAATAATCGGGGAAACATCCATTTGGAAGTCGGGTCCACAGGGCAGTAATTCACAGGAAGAAGCTGCTCCAGTGGAACTTCTCACCAATGTAATAAGGAGAGAGTGTGGGTGTTTAAGATAAACGAACAAGTAAAAATACAAGTCCGTCTTCCATATGATTTGGAATAATTCTGGACATAGACGTGCTTTCGAGTGTCTGATATTCTGAGATAAAATATTTAATTACTTCATACTTGCTTTTACTTTTATTTACATCTTTCTCTTTCATGTTTCATTTCTTTATTTATTTATTTATTTTTTTTTTTTTGTTGTTGTTGAATTTCTTGCAATGTGTTTACGTTGTTTCGAAGTCTTCCATTTCAAACTCAGCAGCCCGAATTCTAAAAGATCGCAGAAGACGGTCTAAATCTGTTTGGTTAGATCAGTCAAAACATTTCATTTTCACTTACAAAACGTTAAATCAGTCAAACATTTTGGTTTGCTTACAGATGTCCTGACGAAACCTGATCCTTCAGTAAAGGTATCCTGTCACTTGTAACAATTCCTCGTCGTTGATACTTCCCTTGATCCGGTGGTGACACCTGTATATCCTAACGACGCAAATAGCTACACAGGCGGAAGTATTACGCCTGACAAATCCAACAAATCCTGTTAGGTCAGACAATTGGGATACGGCTAAAGGAATATCGAGAGAAACCAAAGCATACAATGGTTTGACTGATGCGACGGCATGAGTCAATCTTAATTTCAATTTACGGCGATAAATCACAGGGGGGCGCTTGAAACGACACTATTTCTAGACATTGTTATCAAAATGAATCACCAATACGAATATACCGTAATTTATCGAAAATAATACTTTTTTAACTGTAAATTACAGGTGATAGCAGGGGTGCGTATTATAAATTGATTTTCTAAGCGTACCTTAGATGTGGCACAAGGCCGAAAGTATGGAATACCCAGTGAGGATCGAACTCACTACTCAGTCATAATTGTTCTAGCAAGACAAGCTTGTTAACCATTACACCGTCTCGAGGTGCCCAAGGGTTCGTATTATAAATAGGTTTAAACAAAAATATTTTTTTCGTTATTGATTTATAATAAAAAATACGTACTTGTCCTAAAATAAGAAAGATATTATCCCAATTTTCATTTTAAATCCAACAATTATAATTGTAACATTTTTTGTCAATAAATTTGTGTTTATCGGTAACTGTATTTTTTATCTGGCGAAAAAATAAAAAAATATCTATAAAAAGGTCACTTTCGAAGAAAAGAGGATATCAAAGTAACAGTTTATTGAAATTTTGATTTTCATCATCATTATCATTTTCTATTATAGAATCAATATCTAAATTGTCATAAAACAAATTATCATTCAAAATATTATCTTCGTTTTGTTCATGATTATCTTCGGTCTCTTCATTCTCTTGCCAAAGGATGTCATCTTCAGAGCCATCCAAAGCTCTGTTTCCTATTCTTTCTGTTAATTCTGTTACTTTTTATTCCAAATTTGCACTATAATTCGCACGTTTTGACGACATTTTGGCGGTAAAATAAACAATGTTATATTTAGCGGGAAAACCGCCTGGTAATTTTCAACATTATTTTAGCTGCTTAGTTTCCATTTTATTCTGAACCCTTTCACTGCTACTCATTTGCCCAGTGCTTCCCCCATCCGGCCAGCCATTTTTTTTTTAAAGAAAATGCCAAATTTCAACCTACATATTTTATTACACAGAAAACTGGCACCAGTGTGTTTTACAGCCTTCCATTTTCATGGATATACCTGGGAATGACTTATCAGATCAGTAATGGGTATACACATGATATCTTTTGAAGCATTGTCCTTTGTGATTTTACGATAGATGGCGCAACGTGACACTCATACCAGCGGTATGCAAAAAAAAAAAACGTAGGTTTCCGTACTTAGCTAGCTGGAGCAAGATAAGAAAAACGAACATCTCCCTTGTTAGCAGCGGAAGTGTTAATGTCAAGGTCGACAAAATGTCTTCGTAGTTATTTGGGGGGGCGGTTCTTTTTTGACAAATAGATGCGTATTATACATAGGGATAGACATATTTCTTAATTTTTGGATCATTTGTTGGAGTGCGTATTATTTATGGGTGCGTATTATTTTCGAGAAATTACGGTAATCGGATTTGCCACCGGAAATATTTATTAATTAAGTAAG